TAATGATAATGATAGCCCGTTCTTGTATAGCGCTTAACACATTATGATATAAAGTCTCCAAGCGCTTCCAAAGAGCTTTGAAAACATTACACCTAGCTTTTGCTGCGGCAGCCATTATCACTTTGTATCACCCTCTAATCATATGATATTTTGTAATTTTATGACAAACATTCACGATGATGCTCTCCCTTTATCTTAACAGTATATTATTATAAGTGAACATAATATTCGTATATTTACCCACATACAACAGCACAATTCCGCTTAAAAGTGCAACGTGTGTAGTCAAAGTTATTATAGGCCTGCTACTCAGTGGACCAACTACATGTACACTGTATGACTCAAAATATATTAACAAAATGACATCCGTCATGATCACGTGATATATATAACAGGATGTCAGGATCAAACGACCATGTCCCCTTCCTGTCATTGTTCGTTATCATACCATGCGTGATAATGTACTAGCTAAGGGAGGGTTCGAGTAAGCGAAGTGAGAGCCTTCATTTTTTTTACTACTTACAGAGGTCAGAGCTCATATCGCCCCTCTAGGTTTTACGATGTGCACCTTCAACTTATCCCCTCTCTTGTGATATTTCTTATTAGGCTTTGATAGTTAATGATTACCCATTCACCAATACGTTTCAGTATAGTATTAATGACTGCTTTGAGAGAAATAGTTGTTTTTATACGCTCAAGGGAAGGTTACAATTGTGCTATTGCCCAAGGCGTGCCGAGGGCAATAGCCCAATTGTAACCTTCCCGAGAGCGTATAAAAACAACTATTTCTCGAATAATAAAGCAGTCATTAATATTTTTATATGCCGAAAAAAAAGTCAACTTATGACACCACCTTGGCCTTTCTCTAGTTTATCTGCACGGTTGTTTTTTATGAGTGTATCTTTGAGAGTATAGACTAGATCTAGATTCTAGTCTAAGCAAGATATTTTTACAATTTTGGGGGTGGGCCAGCCCTTTGGGGAATATGGAGAAAAACCTGCGCTTTCATATGACACCTCACTTATTGAGTATCACCTTCAGGATCACAACAGATAAAGGTTTGAATCTCGAATTGAAAGAAAAAAACTTGACTTTTTTTGCATGGTCGCGCAATGCACGTAGACTGCTAAGAGACTGCATTGCGTGCAATCTCTATGGAAAGAATTAGCACACAACATCGGGTGCGCGATCAGACACCCTGACTACTACTAGATCTAAGCATTTTCAGCAACTTAACAAACATGTTTATGAATAATTTCACGTACCCTTTTTGTTCTTGCTGTCAGCGAGTTTTGCATTTGATAAATTGAAATCTTGGGAGAGTTTCTTTAGCCATTTTTGTCTTGTTTGGAATTGTCTTGTCTTGTATGAAAATACCGAACAAATCTTCGCACACTTACGGTATCCTCGATCGCTCAAACCATTTCACCAAGACTGAACTATTTTTCCGGTAACCATGGTAACTGGGATTTTAGAACTATTTTTTTAGAACTATTTTACCGGTAACCATGGTTACTGGGATTTTAGAACTAATTTTTAAAACTATTACATGGGTTTGGAATTTTACCGGGAATTTTACAGGAATAGTTAAAGTTTATGAATGCAATTTCGACCAATCAGATGGCTGGATTTCTTAAGTGAGGTATATAATGAGAAATATGAAATGGTAGGCACTATTTTATTGAGTTCAATTTCAATACACCAGTTTACGGTTACATCAGTGCGCATGCGCAGACATGTAATTGGCTTTGAGACAAAGCCAATGACCTGAGTTCAGTGGTATTTATGCGTAAATTAAGATTGCGCCCATGCAAATGATGATGTGCGCGCACAACGCAGCGCGTAGGAAGTGATATCATAGCAATTCAAGAACGCCGGTACCCCTCAGTTTTTTTCAAGTTCTTGGCCTGTCTGCCGACCAAAAATCATCCAAAATGAACAGCTGTGCAAAGATCTGTTCTTCTGCTTCACAAGCTCTGATTGCAAGGATTTCAAGAGCAATTGCCAGACCCTCTGTGCAGCAACTAGCAATACAGATGTCAGTTCAAAGAGGACACTAGCCCATATAGCAGCCTAGCAGGGCTTAGCAGTGCAATGAGTGTAAAGAGTCCAGAGACACTTGTTAGTCAAATTGTGAGCCGTGGCTTCCAGACGTCTGTACCACAACGTGATGTAGAAGCCGCAGGTAAGTTCATCGGCGCAGGTGCTGCCACCGTAGGACTCGCTGGCTCAGGAGCTGGTATCGGAACAGTTTTCGGAAGCTTGATCATCGGCTATGCCCGCAACCCATCACTCAAGCAACAGCTATTCACATACGCCATCCTTGGCTTTGCCCTCTCAGAAGCCATGGGTCTCTTCTGTCTTATGATGGCTTTCCTGATTCTCTTTGCATTGTGAGCAGCATTGTTCAATAGCTTTGTTGTACACAGTTCAGCCATGCCCATTTGTTTCATAAGTATATAAAATATTAGAGACCATATTGTGAATTACATTCTGCTTGATTGGTCTTCAAAGAGAGAGAGTTCTAGTGAATGTTCTGAAAAGAAATGATTGCGAGTTCTGTGTAAATTTTATAGCATTGGCTATTGACAAGACAAATTATATGATTTTCCCAAAATAACTGTTATGTTACCGAGGCATAGCCTTGTTGACCAATCAATGCACCGATGTCCTCCACATATTTAAATTAATACTTTCTGGACATGCAGTGCTTCATGACTGTTGACTGCATGGGCAGCAATTGTTTGAAAAACATCTTCAATGAATTGTGTTCTGTGCTGTCACATTTGTTACAGTTTCTTTACATTGTTGTTTTGTAACATCAATCTTCACTCTTGTAGGGAAATGCTCAGTCAGGGAGGGGGGGGGGGCTAGTAGTCAGGTCAAGATATGGTTTGACCCAAAAAAAATTGCAACAAAAGGTTTTTCAACGGTTTCTAGTAGTATTTGACCTCAGGAATAACATACTAAAAGTCGACCAAAATCGAAGGTTCAGAAAGCTATTATTTTCAAGATGGCGTCCAAGATGGCCGCCGATACCTAGAAATGGCCATTAATCACTTATTATCCATCCTAGAGACATAATTTTAGTGTCTATCCCATGGTTTTGGGGGTCAGAGAATCCATTGAGATAAGTAGGAATGGTTTGTAATGGTCTAGGAAACCCCCAAATCCAAGATGGCGTCCAAAATGGCCGCCATAACATAAAAATGGCTATAAGTCACTTATTATCCATCCGAGAGACATAATTGGGGTGTCTATGCTATGGTTTTCGGGGTCATAGAATCCATTAGGATAAGTTAGAACGTTAAGCAGTGGTTCAGGGAACCACGAAATCCAATATGGCGTCCAAAGGGCCACAAAACCACTAATATTTCTCAATAGAGGGCGCACTTTATAATCAGGAAATGAACTTATAATGTTTGTCTCACCCTTATGGTGTCATCGGCCCCACCCCCCCCCCCCCCCCAGCAAGAGGGTCAATTCAATTTTTGACAGGTCATTGTCAACAATGAGAGAGTGACCGAGGGAGGGGGTGTGACAAAGACAAAGTAACAACTTACTACTAATATCTAGACACACATTTATAATACCTACCATACAATTAAAAATGTTTAAAACCTCGTGTTGTTCATGTGATCTTACAGCGCATACACATGCAGATCTTCATGTTCCTTCATTTTGATGAGGAATGTACTTTAGTAAGGAAAAATCATCTTCTGCTCCACTATCAAGTGACTCGTTATATAGATTGCGGCATTCATCAAGTTGGCAAGGTATACACACACACTGTTACATGGTAGTCCGTAACATATGCGGGTACAGCAACGTATGCCACAAGCAGTACAGGAGTTGCAATGAATCAACTTATCAAGAAGATTACTAGGTACAGCCTCCGTATTCAACATTATTGTCCTCTAATTTCCAGCCCCAGTATGTGACATCCATGTCTTATAATTCACTCTCTATCCACGCCATGACTTGGTAGTATGTTCTGAGGGAGTGGAAGTCGGCGGAGGCTGGCGTAGGAGGGAGTCGCATTGGCAATTTTCTTGATAAGCAAGTTGTATCGTAATGATGCAACTGAGTCACTTCAGCTACAGCAGCAACCAGACATGAAAGACATTGCTTTGATACCAAGTTCCTCAATTAGTTCCTGTGGCTGACTTAATTGGAAGAAGGAATGTACTAGCACTGGGTTTTTATGTGGGGCTGTATTTCACAAGCTTCTGGAAGACTGCTCTCTTTCCGATTCCGATCATCCTGGAAGTCGAATCGCAACCAGTGTAGGCATGTCGAAAAAGTAGTTGTGAGCATAGATCTTTACCCAGGTCCAATTTCAACGAACTGATTAATGTTATACACCTTCGGAGCCTTGCATTGCTCCATTGTAAGAGTTGAAGTATAGTTCTCTGCTATCTTCATCCGCGTAATGCAAGCGTAACACCAATAGGTCAGTGCCTTCAGTAGACTGACGACGATGGCGTACGATATTATATATGTATAGCCGATATATTTCCTGTATAATTCCCTTGGCACTCTACTGCGGTCCAAATACCTTGTGCGGTGATACAGTCTGTTGGTGCAGTACTGCCATTATCAGAAGACAGTTGCAAACTGATCTAAGAAATGTGGTCTCGGTTTATAAAGACGATTAAAGAGTGATTTTATTTTTAGCATGGGCGCAATCTTAATTTACGCATAAATACATGACCTCTAGGTCACTGGCTTTGTTTTCAAAGCCGATTAAAATGGCGCCCCTAACCGTAAACTGGTGTAATGCTTTGAAACTTTCCTTTAAAGGTGTCCTTTTTTGTTGGTGCTCCCCCCCCCCCTCCCCCAAACCATGGAAGTCGGTCCGCCGCCCCTGCCTACGATCCTCGCCAAATGCATACAAATGAATAGCTTGAGTGCAATATTAAGAGGGAAAAAGACATTTATGGAGGGAAAATGAAGAAAAAAAGAAAACACAGAAAAAACTGTTGAAATGCAGTATATAAAAGAAACAAGAAAAAATGCCAGAGACGATGTGGTGTTAGGTTTCGAAAGGGGAAGATACAGACAGACATTATTTTTTGTAGAGAAAAATTTCCATTTTAAAACTACATTTTTTTTAGATTCAAGATAAACAATGACATCACATTAAAATATATTTCAAATATTCACCAGTAGAGCCACTGGATATTAATTGAATTCAGTTGATTCGATTTCTTCCAGTTCATTATGCTTTAATTGTACGTGCCTACGAGGCTATTGCTAAACAGCCGGATCGCGGGGCGGCGTGCTGGCCGAAAATTACCACAATCTTTTGTACGGTGGGTGTCTTCGAGGATGTTAAATCCGGGGCAACTTTGGTCCTCATGGGATTTGTTTCCCGATTCCAGGCGCCGTGACCCGACTGATTCGTAAAAGCCTATAGGACAGAATTCTGAAGACTCGCAGGTACATTTTGACGATTCAAACACATAAACTAAAAAAATGAACATAGCCTATATGAAGCATTATGAACATATGGACATCGTTTGTTTCGGTATATCTACACGTACACGCCGAGTTTTTCATTTTCCATGATATATAATCAAGATATATATATAGTTTGATTCAATTTTTGTCAGTGGGCACAAGGTTATATCATCCGGCATACCGTTAAAATATTTACACACATAATAAGTTCTGTAAATGAGCAATAAAGTATCCGTCAAGTTCAACAAAGCTACTTAATATGTAAATGGGATTTTCAGATATTTACTTTTGAATTTTAGTCAGGTACCTACTTTTTATTTTTTATGACGCATTCTTCCAATAAAAATTCCATGGGCTGGCTAATGTGTAAAAAAGGGAGTACCGTTTATGAATAATCTTTATACCCAAAATAATAATATGTCAAGAATATAGTTTGCTATGCGTTTGTTATGTAACCCTTGTAAAATTACAATACATTGTTGTAGTTTTTTTGTTCTTCAAACACTCGCATATTTTTTTATCCTATGCATTTGTCTTTGTTAATACTGTTGAATAACTTCAAATTTTGGGTTCTATGTTTAGTGTGTTGTATAGCAATAATTAAAACCAATATAACCAGTCTGTGGTAATCGGCATACGATAGCAGTGACCTCTACCCATCAACTATTACTTGATTCTCGTCTGAAGAAAAAGAAACATTGGGTATCAAAACGTAAGAAACATTTATATTATGACGTCATGGCCTGATTAATAAACAGTTTATCTCTCCAAAGTAATAGATTATGTTTACAAGCTTATAGAGTTGATTGCATGCACACTGTAGAATAAACAAAGGAATTAATCAATACTATGCTATTTGCGTGGCTCAGAAAACATCGTAATGAACGAAAAGTCTTTGATTTTGTTAATTCGATTAAACTGCCAAAACAGAAAATGTAATTATTTTTATAGCGTGGACATGGGGGTCAAAATGTATGAGGGATCCATCATTCGTCCCATGAAAAGGACCGATTTCGTCGACCGGTGACGAATCATGAAGAGAAATGGGTGGTCTGCTCGAAACAGGATCGGCTTCTCACGTTCTCCTGGTGGACAGAGTGACATCATCGCATTCATCCCAAAAGCCGTTGCAGCAGCTGCCTCACTCCCTTCCTCATTGATATCAACGAAGGCCTTGTGGATGACGGCAGAGATGTGAAACTCTCTATCTCCTGAGATGCCTTCGAAGTTAGCCCTATCCTCATCAAAAGCGTCGGGCATTCCCATTCGTTGCAAAACCTCCTTCAGTTGGAATGTTGCTTCTAGTTTGAACTTTGGTAATAGTACGTTCACTTCTCTCCATTCGAGCCCTGCGTCCCAGGATTGCAGGACGTCCACAGAGAGCTTCGTCTCAAGTTGACCAAGGCCATCATCTTTGGTGGGAAGAGCAATCAATAGACTCAGATTGTGGCCTTCATAAGGCAGCTCTAGCACAAGACAGTCATTGGTTTTGTCAACAGCCAAATCAAATCTTCCCTTTAGACTCATAAGACTCACCGGAACCTTCTTTCTCTTGAAAACCTTCTTTCTCATATCGAAAACCTTGAATTTATCCTTTTTAGTATTGTGAGCACGAAATGTTGATTTCCAGTTCGCCTTGAAATAAATGGCATTCACCAGGACAAGGCGTGTGAGATCATTTAGGATTCCAGGAGCAATCAGGTTTTTTATTTTATCCTCGGTCTGCTTTGAAACCCAATCATTGATTGATTGAGTGGCAATTGGAGCTTCAAAGTTATTTACCGCCTCTATGGCTGCTCCATAATAGGAAGCAGTTCCTTCAAGAAATGACTGAACGAAGTTATAGCCAGATTTGCCATATAGCCTGTAGGCGCAATGAATTTGGGAATCGTAATTTGTTTGGTAAAGCAAGTTGTTTAGCTCTTTGAATGTTCCATGAAGTTGATCTTGGTCTATCTGATTGAAACGGAAGACATCAGCGATTTGAGTTGCTGTATTACCTCGGGCTCCTAGCTGTGTCATAGCCAGAGCGGTCGATATGCTGAGAGGGGAGAAGAACAGATTTTTACCTCTCCGTTCATCTTGAAGAGTTTGATAAAGATCCAGGGCGAATCCGATGTTCGCATTTGAAAGCTGGACCAGTTTCCCAGTGATGTATCTTGCTGCTTAGAGAATGCCATGTCTCTGATATATTCTGACCTGTGGATAATTATGGAGAAAGCACGGTTTGTTGATTGGTAACGTGCAACCGTCCAGGGGAACCTGTTTTTTCAAATCCCAAAAGTGTGAAATTGAGGAATCATGCCTTTCCAAAAGGGCATTATAATCGTATAATCGATTTGGTTTCAACCCATGATCTTTTGGATTAAAGACGATTACGTAATTAACAGAACCAAGAAGTCTATTAAGATAAAAACGTTGTCCAGGCTAATTGCTCCAAAGCATGAATACATGATGTATATGTGTTAAAGCCTAGTACTTGCGTCATTTGTTGCGTGCTCAAAATTTCATCCTAAAGCTGACAAGATCAAACATTATTGTCAGATATAATGATAATGATAGCCCGTTCTTGTATAGCGCATAACACATTAAGATATAAAGTCTCCAAGCGCTTCCAAAGAGCTTTGAAAACATTACACCTAGCTTTTGCTGCGGCAGCCGTTATCACTTTGTATCACCCTCTAATCATATGATATTTTGTAATTTTATGACAAACATTCACGATGATGCTCTCCCTTAATATCTTAACAGTATATTATTATAAGTGAACATAATATTCGTGTATTTACCCACATACAACAGCACAACTCACTTCAAAATGCAACGTGTGTAGTCAAAGTTATTATAGGCCGACTACTAAATGGCCCAACTACATGTACGACTCATAATATATTTACAAAATTTCATTCGTCATGATCACATGATATACATAAAAGGATGTCAGGATCAAACGACCATGTCCCCTTCCTGTCATTGTTCGTTATCATACCATGAGTGATAATGTACTAGCTAAGGGAGGGTTTGAGTGAGCGAAGTGAGAGCCTTCATTTTTCTCCTCAATACTGCTTACAGAGGTCAGAGCTCATATCGCACAACTAGGTTTTACGATGTGCACTTTCAACTTATCCCCTCTCTCAAGCTATTTCTTATTAGGCTTCGATAGTTAATGATTACCCATTCACCAATACGTTTCAGTGAGAAATATGAAATGGTAGGCACTATTTTATTGACTTCAATTTCAATACACCAGTTTACGGTTACATCAGTGCGCATGCGCAGACATGTAATTGGCTTTGAGACAAAGCCAATGACCTGAGGTCAGTGATATGGGCGCAATTTTAATTTACGCATAAATACATCACCTCTAGGTCATTGGCTTTGTTTTCAAAGCCTATTAAAATGGTGCCCCTAACCATAAACTGGTGTAATGCTTTGAAACTTTCCTTTGAAGGTGCCATTTTTTGTTGGTGCTTCCCCCCCCCCCCCCCTCCCCCAAACCATGGAAGTCGATCCGCCGCCCCTGCCTACGATCCTCGCCAAATGCATACAAATGAATAGCTTGAGTGAAATATTAAGAGGGAAAAAAGACATTTATGGAGGGAAAATGAAGAGAAAAATAAAACACAGAAAAAAACCGTTGAAATAGAGTATATAAAAGAAACAAGAAAGAATACCAGAGACGATGTGGTGTTAGGTTTTGAAAGGGGAAGATACAGACAGACATTATTTTTTGTAGAGAAAAAATTCCATTTTAAAACTACATTTTATTAGATTCAAGATAAACAATGACATTACATTAAAGTATCTTTCAAATATTCACCAGTAGAGCCACCGGATATTAATTGAATTCAGTTGATTCGATTTCTTTCAGTTCATTATGCATATTGTACATACCTATAAGGCTTTTGCTAAACAGCCGGATCGCGGGGCGGCGTGCTGGCCGAAAATTACCACAATCTTTTGTACGGTGGGTGTCTTCGAGGATGTTGAATCCAGGGCAACTTTGGTCCTCATGGGATGTGTTTCCCGATTCCAGGCGCCGTGACCCGACTGATTCGTAAAAGCCTATAGGACAGAATTCTTAAGACTCGCAGGTACATCTTGACGATTCAAACACATCAACTAGTAAATGAACATAATTATATGAAGCATTATGAACATTATGGCCATCGTTTGTTTCGGTATATCTACACGTACACGCTGAGTTTTCATCCTTCCATGATATGATATGCAAGATACAAAATGTATATAATTTGATTCAATTTTTGTCAGTGGGTACTAGGTTCAATGATCATACCTTTCAAATAATTACACACGTTATACATTCTGTATAATGACCAATAAAGTATCGAATTCAACAAAGCTACTTAATATGTAATATATAGTTAATGATTACCCATCCACCAATACGTTTTAGTTAGAAATATGAGATGGTAGGCGCTATTTATTGAGTTCTATGTTGTTGTTTTTGGCTTTGAGACATTTCTTTGTAGGTTCCCTTTTTTGTTGGTGCTCCCCCCCCCCCTCCCCCAAACCATGGAAGTCGATCCGCCGCCCCTGCCTACGATCCTCACCAAATGCATACAAATGAATAGCTTGAGTGAAATATTAAGAGGGAAAAAGACATTTATGGAGGGAAAATGAAGAGAAAAAGAAAGCAAAGAAAAAAAAAACCATTGAAATATATAAAAGAAACAGGAAAGAATGCCAGAGACGATGTGGTGTTAGGTTTCGAAAGGGGAAGATACAGACAAACATTTTGCACAGAAAAATTTCCATTTTAAAACTACATTTTATTAGATTCAAGATAAACAATGATATTACATTAAAATATCTTTCAAATATTCTCCAGTAGAGCCACCGGATATTAATTGAATTCAGTTGATTCGATTTCTTTCAGTTCATAATGCTTCAATTGTACATGCCTACAAGGCTATTGCTAAACAGCCGGATCGCGGGGCGGCGTGCTGGCTGTAAATTCCACAATCTTTTGTACGGTGTCTTCAAGTATGTTGAATCCGGGGCAACTGTAGTCCTAATGGGATTCGTTTCCCGATTCCAGGCGTCGTGACCCGACTGATTCGTAAAAGCCTATAGGACAGAATTCTGAAGACTCGCAGGTACATTTTGACGATTCAAACACATAAACTAAAAAATGAACAAAGCCTATATGAAGCATTATGGACATACGGACATCGTTTGTTTCGGTATATCTACACGTACACGCTAAGTTTTTCATTTTTCCATGATATATATATATTCAAGATATATATAGTTTGATTCAGTTTTTGTCAGTGGGCACAAGGTTATATCATCCGGCATACCGTTCAAATATTTACACACATAATAAATTCTGTAAATGAACAATAAAGTATCCGTCAAGTTCAACAAAGCTACTTAATATGTAAATGAGATTTTCAGGTATTTACTTTTGAATTTTAGTCAGGTACCTACTTTTTTATTTTTTTATGACGCATTCTTTCAATAAAAATTCCATGGGCTGGCTAATATGTAAAAAAGGGAGAACCGTATATGAATAATCTTTTTACCCAAAATAATAATAATATGTCAAGAATATAGTTTGCTATGCGCTTGTTATGTAACCCCTTAGTTGTTAAATTACAATACATTGTTGTATATATTTATTTTTCAATCACTCGCATATTTTTTTATCCTATGCATTTGCCCTTGTTAATACTGTTGGATAATTTCAAATGTGGGGTTCTATGTTTAGTGTGTTGTATAGCAATAATTAAAACCAATATAACCAGTCTGTGGTAATCGGCATACGATAGCAGTGACCTCTACCCATCAACGATTACTTGATTCTCGTCTGAAGAAAAAGAGACAATGGGTATCATAACGTAAGAAACATTTATATTATGACGTCATGGCCTGATTAATAAACAGTTTATCTCTCAAAAGGAATAGATAATGGAAACAAGCTTATAGAGTTCATCCCAAAAGCATTTGTTGATTGTATGCACAATATAGAATATATCAAGTAATTATTCAACACTAGGCTATTCGCGTGACTCAGAAAACGTCGAAATGAACGAAAAGTCTTTGATTTTGTTTATTCCAGTAAACTGCCAAAGCAGACAAATTTGATTAATTCTAAAGCGTGAAGTGTCTTTGATTTTGTTTCTTCGATTAAACTGCCCAAACAGACAAATTTGATTAATTTTAAAGCGTGGAAAGTCTTTGATTTTGTTTATTCGATTAAACTGCCAAAACGGACAAATTTGATTACTTCTAAGGCGTGGAAAGTCTTTGATTTTGCTTATTCGATTAAACTGCCAAAACAGAAAATGTAATAATTTTTAAAGCGTGAACATGGCGGTCAAAATCTAGGATGGATCCATCATTCGCCCCATGAAAAGGACCGATTTCGTCGACCGGTGACGAATCATGAAGAGAAATGGGTGGTCTGCTCGAAACAGGATCGGCTTCTCACGTTCTATTCGTGGACCGCCTCCTGCCATCACAAAAGCCGTTGCAGCAGCTGCCTCACTCCCTTCCTCATTGACATTAATAAAGGCCTTGTGGATGACGGCAGAGATGTAAAACTCTCTTTCTTCACTTGAGATGCCTTTGAAGTTAGCCCTATCCTCATCAAAAGCGTCGGGCATTCCCATTCGTTTCAAAACCTCCTTCAGTTGGAATGTTGCTTCTAGTTTGAACTTTGGTAATAGCACGTTCACTCTTCTTGATTTGAGCCCTACGTCCCAGGATTGCAGGACGTCCACAGAGAGCTTCGTCTCAAGTTGACCAAGGCCATCATCTTTGGTGGGAAGAGCAATCAATAGACTCAGATTGTGGCTTTCATAAGGCAGCTCTAGCACAAGACAGTCATTTGTGTTGTCAACAGTCAAAGCAAATCTTCCCTTTTGACTCATAAGACTCACCGGAACCTTATACCTCTCATCGAAAACCTTGAATGTACATGTATCATGAGTAGTATTTTCGGCATAAAATTTAGATTTCCAGTTCGCCTTGAAATAAATGGCATTCACCAGGACAAGGCGTGTGAGATCATTTAGGGTTCCGGGAGCAATCAAGTTTTTGATTTTACCCTCGGTCTGCTTTGAGACCCAATCATTGATTGATTGAGTGGCAATTGGAGATGCAAAGTCATTTACCGCCTCAATGGCTGCTCCATAATAGAAAACAGTTCCTTCAAGAAATGACTGAACAAAGCTGTAGCCAGATTTGCCATAGAGCCTGTTGGCGGAATGAAGTTTGTAACCGGAATCTGTTTGGTAAAGCAAGTTGTTTAGTTCTTTGAATGTTCCATGAAGTTGATCTTGGTCTGTCTGATTGAAACGGAAGACATCAGCGATTTGAGTTGCTGTATCACCTCGGGCTCCTAGCTGTGTCATAGCCAGAGCGGTCGATATGCTGAGAGGGGAGAAGAACAGATTTTTACCTCTCCGTTCATCTTGAAGAGTTTGATAAAGATCCAGGGCGAATCTGATGTTAGCACTTGAAAGCTGCATCAGCTGCCCAGACGTATCTTGCTGCTTAGAGAATGCCATGTCTCTGATATATTCTGACCTGTGGATAATTATAGAGAAAGCACGGTTTGTTGATTAGTAAGCATGCAACCGTCCAGGGGGACCCGTTTTTCCAAATTCCCAAAGTGTGAAATTGATGAATCATGCCTTTCCAAAAGGGCATTATAATTGTAAAGACGATTATGTTATTAAGAGAACCAAGAAGTCAAATAAGATAAAAACGTTATCCAGGCTAATTAATTTCTCTCAAGCATAAATACATGATATTATAGTATATGTGTAAAATCCTAGTACTTGCGTCATTTGTTGCGTGCTCAAAATTTCATCCTAAAACTGACAAGATCAAACAG